ACAAGTACACAGTCATAAACATCAGAGCCGGACCAAGACATGGTCCAGGGTCAGTGGAACAGAAACAGAGGAAGAGAGCAGACTTCTTTAGCAGTGCCACCCACTTTGCTCTTGACTCATGTTCTTTAAGGGTTTATGGATGCAGCAGTAGGGGGGGAAACACATGGCCCTCTAAGGGAACATAATCACTTCAAGTGCTCTTAAATAAGTGTCCTTGTGTTCTTAAAGACCAAAGATGGTGCAAATGTAAGCATGAGGCACTTGAGAATACGTTTCAGCGTCAGGCTACTTTTTTAAATAAGATTTTTATTATCAATGAAGCTGATAAAGCAGCCTTGTCTAAAGACATGGTGATACAGGAAGGTAGAAGTCAGGGAAAAGCTTAGACTTCAGGGCTGTAGATCATCTCTATAAAAAGGAAGGGTTTCTAATTTCATTACATAAACTTAAAATGTCAAATCTAATTATTAAGTGCAGTTGTTGACTAAAATCTGTTATTTTATTTTGGATTATTGTGGATTATTTCCAGAATGGAAGGAGGGCGAGGGAAGAGAGGTCATCTGAAAGTGTAGTTTTGATTAAAGGAAATGAATCACTTAAATAACATAAAATTGAAATTGGATATGATTGTTTATAATCGTAAACTTTCTAAAAGATTTAATCAGACTCAGAGCAATAGCTGGGTTTTCAGAAAGAGTTATCTATGCAGATATGATGGTCTCTCAGGTACTCTGGCCTCCACATTTCTTGGTGGCAATTCTACAAAAGCATAAAATAAAATTTTAAGCATTTTATGTTCTTTAATGCAGTTGTATAATCTCATATTGAAAGACACATTGGGCTTTTTACCCAATGTTTTTGTTGTTTCTTTTGGTACCAATAAGTCATAATACAACATTTACAACAAAGACTTGAAATGTGTTCATAAATCTAAATAGTGTTTGAGTTTCACTTCCTGAAAATGTACAAAAACTAAGAAATAACTTTTTCACTATATTATAACTTCAGAATAAAACTTAACCTCATATTAAACAATTATAAAAGGTCACATTTAAATAAAAAGTAAATATAGACAATTTTTTTCTCTAATGAGGACATTTAAATAGTTTTTTCTTTCTCTCGAAAGATGTCTGCCTCACTTCCTATAGGAAAAAAACCTTTTTGTATGAATTAAAAGAATAAAACATATTCTGCCAGTGGTTTTAAATACCTTGAAATAGCTGTATATTTTTGCTTTAACTGCTGGTCCATGAAACACATCCTTATTAATATGGAATGATTGCTTTCATGATAGTTTGAGAAAAAATACAAACCAAAACGACAGGGAAGGCTTCATGAGGTGCCCTTCGTACGAACAACAATCTAAGGCAGTAATCACATTGGTGAAGGGAAATTTGGTGTATTGCCAGTGAGGTACAGACCTCTGTGTTCTAATATAAGGTGATAATCTAACACTGAGGTTGCTGTGGGGTATTTTAGAGGCTTACTGTTGTTTGTTCTTTTGTAGATCCTATTAAAAATGTCTACTTTATCATCAGATAAGATGAAAGAGCATATCTAAATGTATTTCTTCAAATTAGATTCGGAAAAAGTTTTAAAATAATATTTTTAATAAGAAATGGCCAGAAAAAAAAAAAAATCACCTTTTGGATTCAGTAGTGGAATTAAACAGTGTAGTTTTTGGATGCTTAGTTCTTCTATGATGTCCTATTTGTCTTCAACTTGAAGTGTAGTCTTATACTAGAAGTAGAGAGTATTTGGTTTTATTTGGATGATCAATTCGTTAAATATTTGAGGCCTTTACGTATTAAAAGAATATCAATACACAACTAGCAGATCACCAACAAGCCAAGCCGGAAGTCTATTATCTGTTATATCTTTGCAAAGATTCAGTGCTGAGCAGGACAGATATTTTTGTTTTGTTGTTTTTATTTGTTAGTGTTTCCACAGCTCAAATAGATTGGAGTCTAAGTTACATTTGAATATCTTTATTTCTACAAAGAGGTTTTGTGAGTTTGTTCAGTTATTTTTTTTAATTTTTAAAGGTTTCAGATCTTCATCTTTCTCCTACTGATAAGCATGCTTCACAAGCTTTAACAACAGTGTAGGTCTCTTACTCAATGTCCTGACAAGCGTTTCCTTTCCTTATCTAGAGAGGAACCTCAGAACATACAAGGACATTCAAAGTAGATAACACCAAAGGCTTTTTCAGCTGTCCTGTTTTACTTGTTGATGAATACTTGCAACATGTCTCCATAATGCAACCTTACAGATTCAAATGTGTCATCACATTAGTATTTGAAACAGCTCTGTCGATAACCAAGTGCCAGCTTTTCTGGAAGGTTGCCTGTATTTTTGTTGCTTTGCACATACTGGTGAAGCAGCTTTTTTAGTCACTCCATCCCAACTATTCTGCCTTTTTATTTATATAGCTTTTTTTTTTTTCTGTTTTTGTTCTGCATTTTAAATCTGTGTTTGCATGCTGTAAGATACTCATCTCTAAGTAACTTACTCAACCTTTGCCTGTTTTGCATATCTTGTTTTAAATCCGTATATATTCTTAACACAGGAAGCTTTCTTTCCTTTAAACATCTCTCATTCATCTTTTTTGTATTATTTTAGTTTTGTAAATCATAGGTTTGTTTTGACAGTGTATTGATAATCGTATGTTAGTGCTTGCAGTTTTTAACAGCAACGACCTGAAAAACCAGAAAAACCTGTGTTGTCTTCAACATTTGTTTCTCACTTTTGGAGTCACGTACCAATTTTGGACCTATTACCCTTTTGTCTGCCACAGCAGCTTTAACTACAGCACATACAGTCATTATTTTTCTTAGAAGACTGACATTTAGTCACTTCAACAAAGCAGAATTTTAGGAATGCAGCCGAGTAAATAAAAAAAGGCCTGAGGTGTATTCTGCCGAGGTGAACCACAAAAACTCTTTGCTGTTGACACTAAAGTTTTCACCTCACCCCAAATGTATACTGAAGCCATGATTCTAGGAGTCAGCAGCAGAGGTTTTATCACAGCAAGTAGGATTTATCAGGCTGCATTTGTGAACAGGCAGAATTTAAAACACTCTAAGTTAACTATTACAGTGCTGGATTTACTCATAACCCATGATGGTCTATAAAAAGGCCTTTCAGTCAGAAGTTTGGTTAAGAAAAATCAAAAGTTTAAATTTTCAGAAGAGGGAAACCCCAGACTCAAAGTGATGCAACCTTGTCATTACTTTGAGCAACACTTCAGACTTTCTATCAAATCTAAACCCAGAGACTGATGACCATTGAAAACTGTTGATTTTGGGTTTTGCAAAACCATTTTTGGGCTCTTTTTTTAAATACCAATTCTTGTAAATTTTCTTTAGACTGCACTAAGAGCCATTTTAATGGTAAGGTTCACCAGGTTCGTTTTTCCTAAAATTGAAAACATTCTGATATTAAAATAGGCTCAAAATGTCAGGCATACAAAAATAAATTGAAAGAGAAACAATTTAATTCAGTTTATTTCTATAGCGTCATCTCAAGGCACTTTACAGTTCAACCAGATCATACAATCAAATTGATTCAAAGTTTTCCATCCATGGAAAACCAGTTGATTGCATCGACTTATTGACTCGAAGGCAATCCCTCACACTAAGCATGCTTGTAGCAACAGTGGAGAGGAAAAACTCCCTTTTAACAGGAAGAAACCTCCAGCAGAAACAGGCTCAGTGTGAGCGGCCATCTGCCGAGGCCGACTGGGGTTCAAGGAGACAGAAGCAGGGATACAAAAAATAGCTGTAAAAGGCGGCCACGTCCAGGAAACACACAGCCAGGCAGACGAGCTCTGAGATAGGTCCCATGTCAGAGGATGAAGAGAGTACATCCAGCCAGTCACAGTCAGAGAAACAGGTCTGAACTGGAAAACAGGCCGATCTCCAGCATCTATACACAGGCCCCCAACAGCGCTGATCTTCAGCAGTAAACATGTTTTGCCAGCTCCAAGGTCAGATTGAGGATTTGCCCATTCACTTTGTACTAGGAGACATTAGCTTTTTTTTTTCCCCCCAGGCCATTTTGAGTCCTGTGATGACATTTTCCCTCCCCAAATCTTGAGTTGTGCTCTTCAGGGTAAACCTACTTTGATGACCAGACCTTTTGAATATGCTCTACTTTAGGCTTTTCTATGCAAGAAAAAAAGGAAAAAAAAAAAAACATGGCTACCTTCACCCTCTGGAGATTCCTTAATTTTTAAAGCCTAACATGGATGTTTAAGGTTTAATAAGGACAATTCCTTCAAAACAGTAAAGGTGTGTTGTGATTACCTGCCATTACTTTAAACAATAACCTTTATTTAACCAGGACTCAAACTCCATTAAAATAAGGATCAAGAATAGAGGGATTTTTCCCTCATTTACATTGAACTTTTGCCCCCCATTTGCAAAATATATCTTCTAGCACATTAAAAAGGGAACTAAATCATTATGATTCACAATTAGGTTTTTGGCTGAAAATGTCTTAAGAAAGCACGTATATGGTGATGAATTAGGCCTTGGAAGAGACCAATCAGTTCCAAAACTACATCGAAAAAACCTAAAGTACAAATAACTAATGCTAGATATCAGCAATGATATCAGAGGTAGGAAAACAGTAAAGTACAACTCAGAGAGCCAAGAAGTTAATTTTTGATAAACTTTATTTTTGTCCCATTTCCCCCCCCAAAACATTACATACAAAAAAAAGGTGATCTGAACCAAATATTTCCTTGTGTCAAGATCTCAACATTTACACAATAAATAAAAAAAACATGTATAAATAAAAAAATAAATAAAGACATTATGTGCCAAAAAATTATAGACTCTTCTGAATTGGCAGATGGCTTTCACAACACTGGGTGTTTTCATGGAACACACAAGCAATACTTTGCATTCCAGGTCACAGTTTTAAAGGATACAACTCTGGATCAAGAAAGCAATGTAAACCAGAAGGAATACAGTACAACAGAATACAAGGTTTTCTTTTTTTCCCTTAGAGGATATTACTGGGCTATATACTCATCAGTTGTTCTAAAAGCTTATACTAGGTAGTGAGCGTAGTGCCATTGGATTTACTTTTAGACTTGGCTTGAAGTGTAAAAGTAAAATCCACTGTTAAAAACCCATCTGAAATCTTGCTTGTAGCCAGCTCGACATTCATCAAAGGGTTGTTATTGCACTATACAGACATCCCTCAGAAAGGCACTTTTATTCAAACCTCCACACCCTCAGATTCCCAACCAACGCTGCCTTGTTTACTGGCGCTTGCGTTAGAGGACGCACATTCACCTACTGCGAGTGAAATTAAAAACAGAATCATTTTTAAAACCAAAAACCTTTAATATTTGGTTAAAACATGTAGAATAAAATTTAAACGAGTGAGTATAAAAAAAATGTAGTCATCAAAAATAGTTAAAGGAAATAAAAGTGCAAAACAGTGTTTGTCCCTGTAGCATCTTGTGTACCGCCTCAGTGAAATTCGCGTCAAGAAAATGACTGTTTAGTGACATTGCAGGAAAAGAAGCAATTATTTTAGCATCGCCTTCATTGGATGAGCCTGGAAATATCGTGCGTGTGAGGTTCAGATCTTCAGTGATCTGTTGGCTCATTTTCAGAGAACAGAAATAAAACAAAAAACAAAAGAATGTGCACCATGTTCCATAAAGGCCAGAAACAGACTGAGGGTAGGAGGTTCTCTCAATTCAAACTATTCCAAAATCCAAACGCAACTCAGCTTAAAAAAAAAAAGGATCACAGTTGCAGTCTACAGGGAGGAAGAGCTTGCTGATGAAACGCTTTTCTGGGAAAAAAAAAAAAAAGTGAGCCTCACTGCATTTCAATCACAAGATCAACCCTTTTCACTCGCAAGCAGTTTAAACAGTTTGTTTCTTTTAGTGTTCTTGGACCTTTGAGAAACCGTGCCTGCCAGTCAGTCGCCGGCTGAACAGTTGCAGGGTCATAGGCGTTCAAAGATCCAGTGGTTCTGAGTAAGAAAAGGAACGTTAAGCGGCTCTTCATGGTCGCCCTCTCCATCATTTCAAACTGGGTACCGATCCCTTCTTTCAGGTATCTAAACCTTCCAGGTGGATACCATTCGAGGCAAGAACTGGTAGGCACAAACCCTTCAGGCAGAAGCTTCTTTGGGTAACTTCACAGTTGCTCAACATTGTCAAGGTCATTCAAACCAATCACCCCGGCAACGACAGTCCAGGTTAGATTGTCACTCACTCAATTTGAGCAGCTTTTCATCAGTTAAAAAAAAAAAAAAACAGGCTTTACCCGCCCTCTGCTCTGCCTGGAGAAAAGTAAACAAAAATAGCAAAGGCCAGTAAGGGAGAAAAGGAAGTCCGTAACTGGTTTGGCTGCTTCTAAAGCATCTTCCACTCCGCCTATGGAGCACAGGGTTGTGCTCTCAGGCATCAGTGTGGTGCTGGAGCAGCTGGACCACATATTTGAGTCGGTAGCGTAGGTCAGCGGTGCAGCCCAGCTCATTTAGCATGCTGAGGAGGTAGGTGTACGAGACACGCTCCCGGCTGATGTAGGTGAGCAGGTAGGCGTCGTCGGATGACTTGGACAGAATGATCTTTGTGTGGTCTGTGTAGAAGTTCACCTAAAGAGGAAGATTCAAAAAAATTATAATAAAAATTAGGGTAAGACAAGACTTTCGCTAAGCCGCTCATTTGTTTGTTGCATTTATGAATTTGTCCGAACCTGCAGGGTGCCGTTATTGAAGAGCATGACAAGAGCGTGGTCAGTCTTCACCCACTGAAGCAGAAGAGGAGGAGGTCCAGAGCTGTGCTCCTCACAAGGGAGATCTCCACCCTGAGGAGAAGAGTAACATTTAGTTTCATTCCACTCCCTCCTGCTTGGGTTTATTAACCAGAGGAAAGACTCAATACCTCCATCAGGTTCTGCTCCATGTAGTTTGCCATGTATTCAACAATCTGTTTCTGGCTGCGAAGCTGCTCGGGTAGTGACTGAGTTGGGAATGTGAAGTGTTTGTTGTTGGTCAGGCAGTAGTGAACAGTCCTGATTGGAAGTGAAACAATAGGATTAAAGAAAATCATTGCAGCCCAACTTCTTCTTGAAATGCCTTTCAGAAACACTCACTTGCGTTGGTCACAAAGGCTGAGATGTATTCCCTCATTGAAGAGAACGCCAATACTTTGGTTTGAGAGTTGGTAGCCGAAACCGTACTTGTTGGAGTAGTCAACCCATTTTGTGACCCACAGGAAGGAAGGAGGCCTGGACAAACAGGGAGGGTTTCTGGAAGCTGGGGAGAAGGTGAAGAAAAAGGACAGGGTTGAGAAAAGTCCCCAAGTAAACTTCATTCAAATAAGATATGAATGGGATATTAAAAAAAATAATAATTCACAGCATCAAGCGTGTTTAGAGATACATGAGTCAGCAGGTATTTTCAAGGACTTTTATAGCTGAGGCAAAAGGCCTTTAGGGAAACAAATGATCCTAGAAGTCTGCCATTTGCATTAATGATTCTGCACCAACCCTCAAAGGTGAACAGTAATGCTTCACTGTGACAAACCCACATGATTAATGGCCGAGTGCTCCACTCACCTGCAGGCATGGTGGCCAGGCAGTTGTTAAGCAACTTCATGGCAACTTCAGCAACGGCTGCAGGAGTCAGGACATCCTCACATGCTGGAGTGAAAACAAGCAATACGCGTTTAAAAAAAAAAAATAGGCAAAGAGTAAAAAGGTACAAGAAATGAGATTTAAAAAAAAGATAAACCTACGTTCAGTGCTGCTTGCCATAGTGCCCTTGAAAGAGCGGGAGATTGACTTCCTGGATTCCTCCTCAGCAGGAGTCTGTTCCAGAGGCACAGGGTTGACCAGCTGACCAGCAGGAGAAGGCTCCTGAGAGGGAAAACCCGTGATGATTAATATCACTATCAGAAAAAAAAAAGCTAAAACTGAACACAGGATGTAGCTAAAGAATAGCCACTGGGGACATGCTCAAGACAAGAATGAGTCACCTCATGCAGACTCTGAGCTTGAGCTGCAATGTTGCAACATCTACCACATCATGAATAATTGGTTATGATTTGTTACTTTAAGATTGTTCAGCCCACTTGCATTTGAAAAGAGAGTAAACTACTTTTGCTTGCATCTTTAGTTTCCAATATCACCTATCCAGTCATTTGTTTTATTACTCATCACAAAAACTAAGAAAAGGCACCAAAAAAAAAGTCTAATTAGAAAACAAAAATAAAATGAATGAGTTAAATGAGTAAATCAGTTTTTATCTCAATTACGCCGATCGATCAAGACGCATTCAATTCTTTAAAAGAATGTGGCTCCATTCAGGCTATATAAATAGAAACTGAACCAGCCTGATTGGGGGCGGGGCCAACTCAGCACCCTGCTACTGTGGCATTTAGGATAGTCATCCGCAAGCAGAACAGGGACTTTTAGAAAAAGCACATTGTGTGCACGCACATATCTTCAAAGAAAATTGTGACGAAGAACCAAATGCAAGTCAATTTTTTTTCTTGCTCGTGTATACTGGATGACATAGGTAACATGTTTGTCCCCCCCCCCTCGTCCCTTCAATTGATTCAAAAAGGAAACCTTAATGTTGAAGAAGCTTTCTCAAATAAGCCAACATGCTGTGATACTGTAGAAGTTTTAAGCTGCCAGAATGCTTGCCAAATTTCTCCTTTTAATTAAACCAGGAAGCCATTTTACAGTAAGAACAAGGGAATAATAAAAAAAAGAAAAAAATAGGCTGAGAGGGTTACCTCATTGGCTCCCACTGTTTTGTAGCTTATCTGCCGGTTGATGGAACACTTAACGATGCCAGACACTAGCTTGGAAATATCCTTCTCATCTTTTTCCTCGCATGGACTCTTCTCCGCTGTGAAAATAGTACTAATTAGGAACGACCCTTTGAAATATTTTGATAAAAGGTTTTTAGAGGTTTAATTTCAAACAGTTCATGGACGCTGCTGACGCGTTACCTTTCGACTTCTTCTTCCCAAAGAAGCTCTTGGCCACTTTACTGAAGAATTTCTTGGCAGGGCTTGGAGGATGAAGCTCTGGTACCATCGTACAGCTGCTGGTTGGAAGTTTGTCAGGTGTAAAACCCTTTAAAAAAAAAAGATATATTATTCATCTTTATCATGCTACTAAACACACAAGATTAGGTCGCCATATTTCTCCCTACAATAACATTGCTGACATACTTTGGTGAAGAATTCATGATTGAGGATCTGATCCAGGGTCAGTCTGTCGGTGGGGTTTTTCTTCAAGATACCAGAGATGAGTTTCTGTGCCGCAGGGGAGATGGTGGAGGGAATAGTGTACCGAACTTCCTTTATACACTTGTACGTCTCTTTCAAGTCCAGTGTCTCAAAGGGAGGGTTGCCACACATCAGAGTATACCTATGAAGAAGAAACCACAGCTGCTTTCTGTCCGTTTGAAAAAAAATGCCTGCAGTTAACAAAGAAAAATGGACACCAAACCAAACTTACATGACGCATCCGAGCGACCAGACGTCCGACTCTGCGCTGTGACCCTGTCTGTTGAGGACCTCGGGGGCCAAGTAGTTGGGAGTTCCACAGATAGTTCTGAGAAAATAGGTGCATGCTTGAGTACAGAGTAAAATCCAGAACAGTTTCTATTGTGCAAGCGGGACAAAGAAAAAGAACAAGCTGAAGCATTTTGTTTTTCCTGACACACTCATTCTGGTATGCCACAGGAAGATGTCAAATCACTGAAACTGTGATCTAAGCCCTACATTCAACTGCCACTTGGAAACTGGTTCAGTCAGTTACTTGCAGGAGGAGGAAACTGCTTAGCATTTGATGTAATGGTTTTAGGTTAAGCTACTTTGCAAAAAAAAAAAAAAAAAGCCATTTGAGTCATTTTCCAGCTAAGATGCAAAACTGTATCTCAAGTGAAAAGTTTCAAATTATTTATAATTCTGTAGACAAGATAAACCAAAAACTCACTTTTTCCTCTGTTCAACCGTCTCCAACTTGGCAGCAAGACCAAAATCTCCCAGTCGCAACTCCATGTTCTCATTGATGAAGAAGTTACCTGAAAGAGACAAAAGCCTCTAATAAAACTGCATTCCACACATGACAGAAGTATGACTAAAGCCCTATCAGATTCCCAGGATGCCTTCGTGTGTCCTGTGGCTGCTGCTCGACACGTACCTAGTTTGAGATCTCTGTGCAGGATCCCCCGGCTGTGGAGGTACTTCAGACCGGATATAATCTGCCTGAGGTAATATCGCACCTCTGGCTCTGTCAGAGTGCGTCTCTCCTTCCAGATGTGTGCCAGGGACTACAAAGACAGGGCAAAGAGCAGGCCGTCAAACCTCTAATCAGTTTCTCAGAAGCACACATGCACCGAAGTAGCGAGGGTTATTGGGGGAATAACAAGGCATGACTCAAATTTTGCAAAAAAAAAAACTGCAGTCTAGGTTACACTTTAACTTGAAAGGAAAATACCCTTAGTGCTAGCAAAACAAATACTGTAACTAAAGCTCCACTTTCATACATAGATCAGTTTGTAAGACAGCAAAATCTGCTTATTTTCCGTTGGATAAAAGGCAAAAATATTTCCCAATATATATAAGGCCAAGCTAAAACATCACTCTACTGAAAAATTTAAGAGTTTAATAAATACATGCATAAAAAAAGGGACAGGGACTAATATACTAGTTTGAGTCTAGTATCTAATAAATACTTCAATCTTTTTAAAATGATAATCTGTTTGTTTTGGGCAGGGATCAGTGCACATCTACCTATTATGAAAAAGAATAATGGGAATAATTAGCAGAATCATGCAGAGCACCTTTAAGAGAGTATTAATAAAGGACTGAAATAAAACTTGAGGACTAACAGAGCTCTGTCAACAGTGGGTTAAAAGTAAAATAAATAAATAAAACAGGAGCCAAGAGTCTGCGCCTTAAGAAGCTGTGCCGAATCATTCTGGAGAATTCCAGCATCTCACCTTCCGACTGCAGAGCTCCAGGAATATGTAGATGTTTTCACTGTCCTCGAAAAAATGGGAAAATTTCACCACATGCTTGTGCGACAGGGATCTGTGAAGGTCGATCTCGTTGGTAATCTGTCAAAATTAGACAACAGATCAGTTAGATTCATTACATGTTCTGATCCGAGGATTATGCAATCGCCTTCTAGCATAATAAGATGCATGTACCTTTTCCCTCTGGTGGGGCTTGGAGACTCTGCTCTGTGGAATCACCTTTACTGCATACATTTTGTTGTTGGAAAGGTCTGTCATTTCATAGCATCGTGCAAATCCGCCCTTTGGGAAAGGAGAATAAGGAGTTACAAATGGTTAAAACTTTAACATGGATATAAATAAATCAACCCTACTGGATTAATAATTCAGCTGAGGGAAGCTTTAAACAAAAATGATTCATCATTTGTAATTTAGCAGCTCCTAATAAGGCACAGGGGCATAGAAAACATGCCTAATGTGCTGAATGGATCATCTGATAATAAAGCTAAGCAGTAGCCTGGAGGAGGAGGGGGGTGTTATAGCCCTTTGAATCCTACAAGCAGGTGTTTATTTCTGCATTTCCTTCCACATACTGAGGAGATGTGAAGGATGAAGCAGACTGCACTGCTGCATTCATTAACCATGAAAGTGACGGAGGGGTTTCCAGCTCTGCAGCAGGAGGGGGGTCTGGCTCACTGCCCGCAGCAGCAGCACATACATGACATGATGGAGCAACACGTTGAGACAAAAAAAGACTTCAATTCATTCATGTGTCATTTCAACCTGACATCAGATGGGATTAAAAAATCCATATAAGGTAAAAGAAAATATATAAAAAAATGGTGTATTCGTCATTCCTAAGATTTTTGGTCGGGTTTCGGTGTTGCAAACAGGAGCTGGACACACCTTGCGTCTGATTCATTCATTGAAAAAACGCGCACAGCAGGAGGGAAGATGTGGGCTTGATTAAACACGTCCACTACGAGCCCCCCGCCCCCCCGGGATGACCAACATACATGACTGAAACGCTCCTCATCACTTCTAATCTGCGTCTTAATCGCAGCTGCCGCATAGTTTGTTCAGTTTCAGTGTAAAATAGATTCTCAGGAGCAAACTGGTCAAACAGGATCCGCGTGGAGGAGTGAGCCTTGCCTTACCTTGCCTAGAAGCTTCCCTTTACTGTAGGACCTTCCCGTCTTAGGGTCCATCACCACCTGCGCCACCTCAGGTTTGCTTTCGGGTTTATTCCTGCTGTTTTTGGTCGAGGCGGAGGGCGGGTGGTGGTGTCCGCGGTCCGGGATAGGTTTCAATAAATCCCCGTTCATGTTGTGACACGGTTTAGGCTGCGCCGTGATGAAGTAACCGGTATCCATAAAATCTATAAATCTGTTTTTTGGTTTTCCTTCTTCCTGCGTTTTTTCTCAGAAAAAATTCGTAAAGATCCGTTTATTGCCGAACAACTCCGGCAATCTCTTTCTGGCGTGTCTGGGCACGGATCCGCGACGATATATACCCCGGTGTGACGTCAGGAGAGGGGATGGACGCAGGGAGGAGGGGCCCGGTATGGCAAGCCTTTCAACATTTATCAGCTTAATCGTGTATGTGTTTAAGATATCCCAGAATTTCTAGTCAAAATAAACATTTCAAAAAGTCAAGTTAATAAATGTTGAAACGGCTACCTGCAATCTGTTAAGATTTCTACTAATCTGAAACTTTAATCTTACTTACAAAGGGTCTTTTTGACACCCTGCAATTCATATTCTGGTAGGAAAAATAAACTTTGGGAAAACTATTGTAGGAATGTATTTTCTGATCAGGAAGCGTCTCATTTCTGGGATTTACTGATAACACATGAAAGGAAAAAACTTTGACTAAATGTCAATACAGCCTGAAGGAGAAGAAAGTTCAGATGATCTATGCGTATAAGAAGAATGAAAGTGTGAAAAATCCTGCTATAAGTAATCTTCTGAAGTTGTACATGTTTAATCAAAATTATTCAAACTTATCTTCATTTCAGTTTTCTATCTGACCCTCTCTACCGAGACTTGTAAGAGATAGTTAACTTTATGAGCCTAATCCTGAACTACATCAGCAAGTTTCTGAAACATAAAACAAGCTGTCATTGCAACGTGCCTAACAAAAACAACTCCCAATCTAAATAACTCGTTAACAAGCTAAGAATTCCCCTGAGTGAAAATCTCACAGGCCTTATAGAAAGTCGACCCCTGGTGGAGAAAACTTTGCAAAACCTAATCTATACTTGGTGATTTAAGGCCTTCATTAAAGAAATAAATGCACAAAAAGTCAAACTCCCCAAAGGCAAAAATGTCCCCTTCATGTTCAGGATGTTGTACAATGTAATAATAAAAATAATAATAAATACAAAAACAGATATACACAAGTGATTTTAATGTTGTCATTGTTGAAATTTGTGTCAAATCTTACAGCAGGAACAAAACAAATAAAAAAAACTCAACCTTAACAAAAATAAGAACAATGTCACACCAGCTGTACTTGGGGAAGTGAACACAATAGTTTCAGTCCTAATAAAATGGTCTTAACAAGAACAAAATATAAACATCAGATGAAGGCATAACATATTTGTTTTTATTTCAATATGGTGGTGAGTGTAACAAAAACATGAAGCACATATGAGCTATGGAAGGAAATTTTGAATATAATCAATTGTTGTCCCTCTGAATTATATCATATGAGAACTGTATTTTGACTTTGGCACAATTAGACACTTTTAGACTACAGAGCTTCATTGGAAAGGAAAGGGACTACACCAATTTTGATCACAGCGTGGAGGGCGCCATCTGCTGGACATTACTTTTTTCTTTACAATATGTTCCAAATATAAGGCTACGTTCACACTGCAGGCCTTAATGCTCAATTCCAATTTTTTTTTTTTTTTGTTAAATCCGATTTTTTTGCTTTGCTGTTCAGATTTTCAAATATATTTGCGACTTTTTGTGATCTCTTGCATGAACTGCATTCATACAGCTAAAGAGTCCTGCACGCACAGTGGAGGATGCAATGCCGTCACAATCGAGCGTGCTCTGTGGTAAAAAAAAAAAAAAAAAAGACTACTCTACACATTATCATCCACCATGGTTATTTTTCTTCTTGCTTCTGCGTAGCAAGACGCAGAATAGTGACCTTTGTTGAGTATTATGGAAGTTAAGTTTAGGTCAGATGAATGCGACCTGGCCGTTAAGACACAGGTCGCCTTTAAAAAGATGAGATACGTAACGGATACAGGACCACATGGCCAAGTGGCCTGGGTCGCATTTGAAAAAAAATTAGATCTGTTGTTCAGACTGGCATGAAAAATCCGATACAGGTCGCATATAGGCAAAAAAAAAAATCAAAAAATCAAATTTGGGTCACTTCAGACTGCAGTGTGAACGTAACCAAAATCACCTTATTGAGGGACCATATAATATTATCCAATGATAGCTTTTAGTATTTTGGTCATGCATGCTTGAACTCTGAAAGCTCTCATTTGGTCACTGTATAAAAATAAACAGGTAGATTTAAAAGTCCATCATATCTTCCCCTCTTTTCTTCTTGTCTTGAGACTCTGTCCAGGCTTTGTTGATCGTTCTCTTCATATCATCATCTCCCTCGTCGTAAATCTTCTTCAACATGCTCATGAGACCATCGCTGGGGTCTGCATTCTCATCCATGGAAGGTTTGCTGTTGAGGCACAGTAGATTAAGTCTGTAGTTATATATATATATATATATAGATACATTTATGCTCCTCTCAGCTTTTAATAAACATAAATGCTATTATCAAAGAGGACATTTCCAATACTGTCATCGGAATCGGAACAACTCTAATTAAATTTAATCACATTTTCCCATGGTGAGGGGCGAAATTACACTAGTATCAATATGTGAGCATGGTTCTAACACTACATATTGCACAAAGCAATTGTGTGAGTAGAACCAATTAAGTCTATTAATGTTAGCTTGATTCCTGTCGTATATAGTACTAATTTGTATACAGATTTAATGAACTTGAAACAAAAAAAGTCAGGCTCATTGGAAAAGTCAGAATATACTGAAGGTGTGATGAAAACTTTACAACCAAATCCAGCTCTGATTGTTAGCTTTACTACCTTTCAAAGGCCTTACTTTGAGTTTAACCCACTTACCACCTTTTACCACCCTGTTTTAAAAAAAAAAATCTCTCACATGCGCAAAGCACAACTGATATCCACCATTACAAAGCAGGATGTAAATCTACTGTATTATTTTTTTTAAGTAATGTTTTTTTTTTCTCAGAAGCTGCTGAATTGTTGCAGCGGGAGATACCTTCCATTATTAGACACATAGAAAGCCTCGGGTACTGTGTTTTGGCTTTGCTAACCTTCTTTATGTTAAGATATGATCTAGTTTGGTTTAAAGGTCAAATAAAAAAGGAGTGGACCTAGAGCAGTTTTATCGTGTGTGATGATAGCTTATAATTTCTTTTTCTCTATGTGGCTCTCCCAAATTGCACTAAAAATGCTGCAAGTAATAAAAATCAAGTGACTTTTACAGTATGCTGGGCGCCTCTAGCGATCCCCAGCTGTGACGTCAGTGTGTCAAACATTCTCACAGCATCAGTGGGATTCAATACACCAAGGTTGCAAAGGCTTGTTTTCTCTGTTGTATAGCTTTAATAACGTGCCTTGTGGCTATACATATACAGTATTCAATAGAGTTTTAGAATATAGAATTCTATTGTTTTTCATCTTTTCTGCCTTGCCAATATTAATATTTCTCTCTCTTATGGTCGGGGTCAAAGCATGGATCATTGCAGTCCAAATTAGAAGGAGAGAGAAAGTGAAATACAAATACCTGCATAAGGTTAAACTGAATCAATTTTTTAAATTAAGCCTGAGAGAACTTCCCACATGTTGCATTTTAACAACAGTAACATAGTAATATAGTTTTGCCTTCATACGTAGTCTTTCAGGTATGTTTTCACAGCATGACATAGTTTAACCATTTTTCCATTGACTCATTTAAGGTTGCATTTTATATTAGAATATATATAAGAGACTATTCAGGAGCAGAAAAAGAAACCCAAGGAAGACTATGAGGTCAAGTTACACCAAGATACTCAATGTTCTTTATTCTGACCAGTTCCCTTCAGTTCTGAGGAATATAGACATGATGGTGATTTGTTTCAAAAACGATTTTTCTTCTTTTTCCCACAAAAAAGGCTGTTTCTCTGTCTGTTCTTTAAGGGGGGTAGCCATGTCTTGCTAAATTTGCAGTTCCTCCATACTACTTTCATGTTGGGCTACAAGAGTAAACGGTGTTCTCTGTGTTGTTGAAAGCTTGGAATATTGTTTTATAGCCTTACCCTACTTTTAACTACTCTGTTGCTTTATGACTGGTCTGATCCATGATCATTCTGCCAGATTTTGTTTACTTCTGCTGTCTTACAAACCTTTGACCCCTTTACAGAACATTAAAACAGCACTCAGTTATCTTTGAGCTGTGCTCCCCCTACAGGACCTTTTGAAAATAGCACTGCTGTAGGTTGAGCTGCTCAGCACCTCAGAGCTACAGCGCTCCCTCCAATGCAGCTGGAAGACACAGATCACAACCACATGTCTGAAGAGGTGGCTGGTATTTTACATGATCTAATGTAAAATAGTGCATTACAGCCTTTTTGTTGGGGAAAAAAACAACAAAAAACTTTTATGTAATTCTGCCTCTCAAATGACTTGTTTTTATAATTGCTCTCTTAAGATGATCCAGCTGTATGCTAAAAACCCATCCCTCTAAAGTCACAACAATAACATTAACAGGGATAGTGGGATAAGCAGGCATGGTACTTACAGATCCATAAAAAAATAAAATAAAAATAAAACATTGCCAGGTCTTCACCATTCTTCGTTCTTGTTTTTATTTCAGTAGTAAATGCCTGGTCTGAATTTACCCTTCATAGAGTACTGCCCTGATCCAGTTCAGGCTTTCTCTTCCTTTCTTTTCTTTCTTTGTTGGCTCCAACATGTATTAAACAACCAAGATAACAGAATATTTTTATAATCACCTGTGGGGTAGCACAGTGAGGCATGTGGCTACTGAAGCCGATGGCTTAATATTCGGCTGGAGTAAAGCCGTTTGTCGTACCGTGACAACAAAAACAGAACCACAAGACTGTTACTGGGGTCAGAGGCAATGAAAGCTGCATGTTTGGTCGTCTGATAGTAGGGGGAGACATGAGACCTTTCCATTTTCTCATCAATACTTGGATTAACCTCATAGGAATGTGGAGGAGGATTTATTAGGGTAACATTTTTGCTAAGTACTACCTTAAATAAAACCACAGAGGCGAACTCTGCCTAAAGCGTTTGGAGGCTCTATGTTTATTCAGGAGTATCAGATTAGAAGGATCTGAATACATATCTACCATCACAGATTCAGCCGGGCATTAACTGTGTGATTTTTTCAATCGTTGCATGCAGCTACACCTCACGATGTGTGTGCAGCATGAANGAACATTAAAACAGCACTCAGTTATCTTTGAGCTGTGCTCCCCCTACAGGACCTTTTGAAAATAGCACTGCTGTAGGTTGAGCTGCTCAGCACCTCAGAGCTACAGCGCTCCCTCCAATGCAGCTGGAAGACACAGATCACAACCACATGTCTGAAGAGGTGGCTGGTATTTTACATGATCTAATGTAAAATAGTGCATTACAGCCTTTTTGTTGGGGAAAAAAACAACAAAAAACTTTTATGTAATTCTGCCTCTCAAATGACTTGTTTTTATAATTGCTCTCTTAAGATGATCCAGCTGTATGCTAAAAACCCATCCCTCTAAAGTCACAACAATAACATTAACAGGGATAAGTAGGCATGGTACTTGCAGATCCATAAAAATAAAATAAAATAAATTGCCAGGTCTTCACCATTCTTCGTTCTTGTTTTTATTTCAGTAGTAAATGCCTGGTCTGAATTTACCCTTCATAGAGTACTGCCCTGATCCAGTTCAGGCTTTCTCTTCCTTTCTTTTCTTTCTTTGTTGGCTCCAACATGTATTAAACAACCAAGATAACAGAATATTTTTATAATCACCTGTGGGGTAGCACAGTGAGGCATGTGGCTACTGAAGCCGATGGCTTAATATTCGGCTGGAGTAAAGCCGTTTGTCGTACCGTGACAACAAAAACAGAACCACAAGACTGTTACTGGGGTCAGAGGCAATGAAAGCTGCATGTTTGGTCGTCTGATAGTAGGGGGAGACATGAGACCTTTCCATTTTCTCATCAATATTTGGATTACCCTCACAGGAACGTGGAGGAGGATTTATTAGGGTAACATTTTTGCTAAGTACTACCTTAAATAAAACCACAGAGGCGAACTCTGCCTAAAGCGTTTGGAGGCTCTATGTTTATTCAGGAGTATCAGATTAGAAGGATCTGAATACATATCTACCATCACAGATTCAGCCGGGCATTAACTGTGTGATTTTTTCAATCGTTGCATGCAGCTACACCTCACGATGTGTGTGCAGCATGAAGCTCTGATGCGCTCTTCCTGCTCACATTGTACGTCTAAAAACCACGTGGGACTCAGCTCCGCAGTGAGATGGAGCTGCTCGGACTCGTCTATCCGGAAGCCAAACAAATAGAAGGGGAATATGAAGCTGACTAGAGAGAACCGCGCTGTTTTGGCAATTTGGACAATTTTGTGCTGAAAGCCCTAAAAAGAAAAGGTGACGACATATTTGGACAAAGACATGGCTGAGCAAACGTGGCTACTACAGTCTGTCAATTTTACAGAAAGAACTCAATTTCACTCGCACCCCCGCCATGCTTCTGTGTTTTCATCTGAGAGGAAGAAGAGGAAGAATCCTTGTTTGTGCACCGAGCGATTTGCCCACGACGGTCGGGAGAATCAACGTTTGATTTTCTCCCGACCTCACGATTCCTGATCAGGAGGTGGTCGTGAGAGGCTGATCGTGCCTCGTTACACCTTGTACACTACACGATGCACGATTAGGCTGAAAGTCGGCCAAATCGAAAAATTCTCGCACAGTGTATGCCCGGCTTTACTTAGTTTTATTCTGAAAAGAGGTTTAAAGCCATTAACCTGTTTTACTACACAATTATATACCACCCTGTGTAGGTCTGTTGCATCAAATCCAAATAAAATCTGATGAAAGATTTTGATTGTAACTTATCGAAGTATGAATGAAAGCGGTATATTACTTTTATAAAACACCCTAATTCATATTGGTGTAAAACTCCATCAAGATTAATGAATGTTCCTCAAGTCTTCTGATACATTTAGAACTTACTCTTTCTCTTTTGACCGTTTCTCCACTGCTGTAAGACACTCCCACTTCTTTGCTGCCTGCTTTTTTAACATGATCAACACCATATCTGTTTTGACCTGAAAGAAAAACAACAACAACATACAAAAAACATATGTAGAAAAATAAAATAAAACTTTACAATAAACATTCCTGTTGATTCGACATGGGAGCAGATGAATGCCTCTAGATGAAATAAACTGATGTAAAGGCAGGTTTGTGTGTGCCTTAATTTATTAGACAGAAACCTTTAACCTCTGGCAGCTCTTTAAAGGGAGGAAAATAATAACACAGATGTAGTGAAATGATGGGAACCATTAATTGTTTTATCTAACTGAAAGCAAAAGAATTTTAAATTCTGTTTAAAAGATTAATTAAAAAAGGGTGCAAGAAGCTAATATCTGGCATTAAACTGGAAACATGTAATATCATTCTTCTAAAACGATAAGGGTTTAGATCTGAAGCGAGATGTTTAATATGTAGTTTACTGCATGATATCATCTAGATCAGAAACTAACTCCTTCAAGTCTTCATGTAGTGAAGATAATATGGCTTTAAAAAATCCCATCAAATTCAATTAATCTTGTTTTCCTCCCTTTGTTTTACAATAAAAATTCCATGCAATACTTTTGAAAACTATTGTTCATTTCAATCATCATGGGAGGTGATTTTCATTTAAAAGGCAAATAAATTCAAGCTGGGAAAAAGTTTGTTGTTTCACAGCAAACAATGAAAATATATCAAACCGAATGTTTGCAACTAGCGGTTTATCAGTTAAATACATATCTAAGAACAAAAAGGGAGGAAGTGAAGTCACTCTAAGTTAAGGAAGCCGAACATGTACATCAGTGTGGGGGAAAAAAAATAAAAAATCTGATTTTCCCAAAACAGAAAGTATGAAATCGATTTTATCAGTTAATCATCCAGCCCTACCTTCATGTATAGGACAACAGTTGGGAACTAATGCTTTAAGGAAAAAAACAGCTAAATTTGAATGTATGTAAGGCCAAATATTGCTAGTTTTACTCACCTTTTTGTAACTGTCTTTTTCATCTATTGGATGCAATAGGTTAAGAACAGTCATCTGGTGGTTTTTACCATTTAGGTCCTTTATCAGCACAGAAAATGACCTGCAAAAGAAAATAAAGAAACTTAATTTACCTTGTTAAATAAGAAATAAACATTCGAATAAACATTGACGCTGATCATCAAGTTACCTCTCTGTAAAGGATACATCTACATTTTCTGCCGATATTTTGTGCACTTCTTTCAAATCGAGGTAAATTTTCACAAATTTCTCAGACTGATCCCATGCTGCATCATGAAAACACAAAAACAGATGAATTTATGAAACATGTTTCCATGCTCTTTCATGCAGTTAACTAAAGCAATATTTCGAAGAGACGTACCATAGCTGGTGATCTTTACAGTGTACGCTGCTTTGGATGCTGTAGATGGTTCTGCCTCTCTCCTGGCCTGCTGCTCTTGCTGCTGTCGCTTGCTTACAAGTTCTTTCTCCACCTTTTTCTGTTCCTGCTTCAACAGATCCTGGACCCTTTTCCTTTCCGCTTTTTCCAGAAGAGAGCTTAACTCCTGCAAATCTGCTTCTAGCTGACTGATCTGTATCCAACATAGGAAGGAGTTTTTATATATTTACACAGCACAGAACCATCCTGCAAGTTACATTAAAGTTTGCCCGTCTCTATTGTAGAGAGAGCTAGCTTTGACATCACAATACACATGGTGTAACATGCTTAATAAAAATGCAAATCAAAAACCATTTCATTCATAGCACATTTAAAAGAGCAATTTGAATAGCCAAAGTTATGTACTGTAATAAAACAGGTGCACATTTAAATAAACGGGGACTATAACAGAAATATGAATAAAAAAAATAAAAAAAAAAACTAACAGAGAGAAAAGGCCTGACTAATTGTTCCTTGAAATCTGTTCCATAATTTTGGGCCCACAACTTAAAAAAATATATCTTTTCTTTTAGCTTCAGGCTAGTTGGTTGTTAGGTAAGCTGATCTAACTAAGCTGAAGTCAGCTGATCTAAGGGCCTACTGATAAAAAAAAAAAAAAAACAAGGTTAATATGTGCATCTGAGAAAACAGATCCAAACAGAAAGCCTGACAATAATTTCCTGAAGTGTTTTTTTTTTTTTTTTTTTGTGAGAGAGATGTTAACAAACAAATAGTCACTAAAGACTTTATTTCCAGTTTTTGGTTAGAATTACATTTAACGGTTTCTTATTCAGTGTTAGTTTATGAGCATTATCTTTATATTATAACTTAGGTACAACTCCTTAGCTGCCTATTAGCATGGCTTCCAGAAAAAGCAATCCAATTCACATATCATCAATATCTAGCGGTGCTTTTGATACGAAATTGATCCAAACAATCCAAATCTAAGCAGTGAGTTTTAGACTTTAATAATCATGTGACTTTCTTATCGTTGCCATGGCAGATAGAAACTGCGCCCAAAGGCTACGCGCTGGTAACAGCTGGAACGTTCTAGCAAACTCCAGTGAAAGCTAAACGCTAAGCTAGCATCAAATACAACAACGCAAACCACCGATAAATAAACAATTATTTTATCGTCATATTTCCGAAGGAAACGTACGATATAAATACGATCACACAACTGTTTACGCAATACATTATACCTTAAATGAAATGCTATCTATAAACCAGAACTGAACTGCTGCCACGAAAGTCGAATACATTCATATGAATGCATTTTATCTGATTGTTTTCTGTTCGTATGTTGAACCGGGAAGCTCACCTGTTCCTTTAGATCCATTATGGTCTTCTAATTCTCAGCTGTTCCTAGATGAAAGCTTTATTTCTGCAGCTCTGTCTGCTGCTACGGTCCTACTTTGCCTCTATCGCTGCAATGTGGGCTCAGCCAATGGAGGACGGCTTCATCTTCTTCTTTTCTATTATGGCGGATCGCCAGCAACTTAATTGTGCATACTGCCACCTACTGCACATGATTGTGTAGCAACACTACTTTACATCAAATTCTTTTTTTTTTTTATTTTGTATTCTGTAGATACATAAATAATGCTTTCCTTAATCTGTGAATATCCTTTATAATTCCTTTATTTCCCAAAATTCCTTTAAGACTCCATTCTTTGCCTGTCCTTCCAACCATCCTTCTCAATTTCTCCCTTTCATGTTCATACGTTTTACAGTTCATCAGTAGGTGTTCTACATTTTCTTTTTCTCCACATCCTTCACGTTTATCATTATTTTCCCCTTCCTATTAAATATAATTTTTTTCTATTTGCAAATTGTGCATGCATTATCCCATGTGCTTTTATGCTGTGTCTGTGCATTAGCCTTTTAAAAATGTTTTATTCGCCTTGTTTTTTTCCTAAAATTAAATGCATTATATTTCAGCATATTACTTTTTCAGATGAGACACTACAAAAACGACAGCGTCATCCACTTAATAAAGACTTGCTACATTGACATTTCGCAGTGAATAACTTTTATTTAATCACTTTCTATTTACTGTACTATTTTCTAATGTTAGACACAATGTCGATGGCTAATTAAGTAAATCTAATTTAACGCTTCATACTATACTATGGGATTTTTATTTTCTTGGTTAGTACATCCACTGACTGTGAAATTATTTGTGAAAGGTCCTCCCCCAGCCGGCAAAATGCTACAAATGTAGGCATTTTATGGCACGTCTCCGTGGGAGTAGGGAGTACCAATATGGCGGCCGGTGGCTTCACTTTTTTCAGACAATTAGCAGTCCAGTGAATATATAGAGATCAGTGGTTAACACCCTGAACATATTAAAGGTATCACTGGCTAAAGATGTAAAAATACATTTAAATAAAATACATCCAATGTTGTTATTCATTAGATCATTCCAAAGGAACACATACAAGATCCGAAAAATTATCCAATAATTAGCATAGAGATAGACGCCATGCTCAAAGGTTTCTTCATATTTTTTCTGTATATTTCAAACTTTTTTGCACCAAGTTCGGGTACAGGTGTTGTAGAACAGACATGAAATGGTGACTACAAATAAAATAGAATAAAGAACAAGATACAAGTAAAGAAAAATACAAAGAACAGAGGAAAGTAAGAAAAGAAGGCAGGTAGACAAATGGAGAGACAAAAACACAGAGGGAGTGGAGGCAAGGCAAGATTAAAACATAAAGCACACAAAGGAAACACGCGAGGCAGGACACAAATTAGGGCTCCTTCCTGACATCCAGCAGTATTTGGACAGCATTTATCATGGCTACTACTGAGGCACCGCCGTTTATTTGTCTTTACCGATAGGATTGAGCCAGAGACAAGAGAGATAGCAAAAACATGAAGAACCTAAAAAGGAAGAAATCAAAGAAAAATAAAGATAAATTGGGAGGGGTGTGTGAGGAAAGTCATAAGAAAGAAAATAATGTGAAAGGGAAGTGAGGCTAGGTGAGGAGGAACTTTTGGGAAAAGGTAAACATTAAGACAAAGGGAGAGGAAAAGACAAGTCGTTCTCCAGACCCTGAAAACACCACGACCAGATTCCACAAGTTATTGGATTTTTAGGAGCTATGTAATCAGCCAAATAACATGCTGGTATTCAGACCTGACATGACTGATATTTACCATGACATTGTTTTGTTTCTTTAATGTAGCTGCATTGGTTTCCACAAGAGCTCATAAATACAAGGTTTTTATGGCCGTAACCTTGTTTTGATGTCGCCTAACTCTTACGCTAGTTAATTTTAGCTTCTCAGTAGACAGAGGTGCATCTCTTTGCTCAAGACTCTACATTTTTATTATTACATTGTTATGTATAATTACCTTTCCTACCCCCAATATATTTAATTAGGGCTTGCCTGTCTCATACTTTGAACCTAGATTGACATAACTGTTTTTGAAAGATTATCATTGGCCTCTTTCCTCCCAGTTTTTAATTAGGGTATGGATAACTTTTAATTCTTTGTCGGCTAAGATTTCATTGCTTGACAGAAACCAAAATGTTCACTTGTCTTGTGGAACATTTTCCCAAAAGAAATGGCGGCATTCCTCGACACTAAAGCATTTAGAAGCTTCATATTGCTTCAACGTGGAATTAATTTGTTCAACAAAATACTTATTAGTGTGAACATTTTGCATTCTATTTTAGCCCATATTGCAATATTCCAAGTAAAAAAAGTTCAAATTTGAACCTAAAGCCATATTTTAACCAATTTACCCAACTTTGTTTGGAATCTAGGAGTATTTCAGCTCTTAAACAAATCTGAAGTCTGTGGTTCTTGCACTGTAGAATTTTTTTAATCAGAAAATATTAAGCTCATATAAGCAAGTATTTACTAAGAGCTGACTTTATTTAAATTTTAGCCTTTTGAAATCAATATTACAACAATTAGATAATGTTTTTGTAGGACTATGACATTCTATGTGTGGATTATTTCATAAATGAAATAAAGCAATCAATGAAGGGTCACTTACATCAAGATTTATTATTTTTATGTGTACAGTCCATGAAAACTTCAATTTCTTCTCCTTAGGAATAACATTGTCTTTTTTCTTTTATTTCCAGCGGCAAACAAATGTTGATTTATGTGCAGCAAACAGAACATGTCCAGAAGTTTGAAAACATCCTCCATCCTGTCAAAGCGCAACGATATTAATAACACTATTTTCTAAAGAGCCCAACACGACCACTGTCACCACCTCGCCCTCAGGATTCCTGACATCTGATTGTGGTCAGCTAGGTGCCTGAAGACGATACGACTCAACCTCCACTTTCTCTTCACTCCCCGAGGTCTGGACGTCAACACACATCTGTTGCGTATCCTAACAGGACAGCTGTCTCTGGGTAGTGCTGCAATCTCCTTGTCAGCTATTTCCTGCAAACAAAGTACAATATAATAAGAAATAGCTCAATTGTTATTTTCAATAAAGAAATAGCTCAGATCAACTCAAAAAATTAACTTAATGCATTCTGAAATTAACCTTATGCACACCCTTTTTTATTCAGCATATTTAGCTATTTAATCAGTACTGAGCTCTACCTGAAGTTCTTTGGGCAGGATGGTGTTCTTCCGCAGTGCGTTTATACGTATCCTCTCGTGAGCATACTCAAAGGCCATCTGTCTTCTCTTGACATCCCTCAGCATCCTCCAGTCAACGTAGTAACTTCTCACCTGGGCCACTGCATTCCAGCAACTCCCCAGTGCCTGCTCATCATCAGTAAAATACAATTAACCCTAATTTTGTAACTAACAGCCATGGTCACTTCCAAATTGCATAAAAAAACAAACAAAACAAAAATCAGTGATCTCTATTCACTAGAATTCGAATAGCCCGAAAACAAAATAAGCCACCGGCCACCATATTGGTACTCCCCAACTTCAACGGGGATGCGCCATAAAAATGCCAACATGTGTAGCATTTGACTGCAAAAACAAGCAATTTTCTGGCTGTGGGAAGACGTTCCACAGGTAATTTCACAGTCAGTGGATGTACTAGCCAAAAAACTCCATATATATG